ACACACAAAATGTAACAATCTTTGTTGGTTACGAGGGATGGGAGGGGTGAGGGGGGAATACTAAATAGGCAATAGGTAAGTGGTATCTTTGGTGAAGGGTGAGACAGTACACAATAATGGGAAAACCAGCACAACTTGTACAAGAAAAGGTCATGGAAGTTCCAAAGACACATCCAAACTCCCTGAGGGACTGAACTGCTGGGCGGATGCCTGTGGGGACCATGGTCTCGGGGAACATCTAGCTCATTTGGCATAACACAGTTTATAAAGACAATGTTCTACATTCTACCTTGGTGAGTAGCGTCTGGGGTCTTAAAAGCCTGCATGTGAGCAGCCATCTAAGATACTCCACTGGTCTTACCCCTTCAGGAGCAAGGGAGAATGAAGAGAACAGGATACAAGGAAGAGACTGGTCCAAAGGACTAATGGACCACAGTTACGAAGGCCTCCACCAGACTGAGTCCAGTACAGCTAGATGGTGCCCAGCTGCCACTACTGACTGCTCTGATTGGGATCACAACAGAGGGTTCTGGACAGAGCTGGAAGAGGATGTAGAACAAATTCTGGCACACAAATAAAGGACCAGATTTGCTGGCCTAAAAGAGACTAGAGAAACCCCGAGAGTGTGGCCCACAGATACCCTTCTAGCTCAGTGGTGAAGTCTCTTCCAAGGTTCACCGTTCAGCCGGGGGTTGGACAGCCCCATAAAACAAAACGGGACTAATGAGGCACAGCAGTCCAGGGACAGGGACTAGAGGGCAGGGGGGGACAGGAAAGCTGGTGATAGTGAACCCAAGGTTGAGTAAGGACAGTGATGATGTGTAGTGGGGTTGTTGACCATTGTCATAGGGCAACATGTGTAGTAACTTTAATGAGAAACTATTTTGTTCTGTAGACCTTCATCTAAAGTGAGAGTAGCAGCACAATTGGAGAGAGTAGTTGAAGTCAATGAACTGGGCATGTAGAAATTTTTGAAATGTTGTATCTTTGGCTATGTATATTTTCACCAAAAAAAAAAAAAGTTTGAGAAGGGAGAGGGTTGACATGTCATGAGGTTGTTAACCTAATGTCATAAAACAATATGTGTACTCCTGTTTAATGAGAAAGTGTTTTGTAAACCTTCACCTGAAGTACAATTAAAAAAAAAAAAAAAGAATTGGGCCTCGTAGAACAGACAGCACAATATGTTCATACAGTTGGTGCAAAGCCCAAACTACACTTAGTGAGCTCATCCTCCACTAGGGGATAGTGGATCTTGCTTCAGTTATTCAGATAATTGCCTCAAGCCTTATTTTCTCAATTAGCCATACCATTTTAAAGAGTCAGAGACCCAGCTTAGGAAACCAGGATAGTGTATGTATATGATTTCAAACTACATAAAAATTGGCATCCAGCAAGATTATATTTTACAGACATTACTCTGTCAAACAACTGTGGCAACATATAGAAAATAACACTTGTACATGTGAAATAATGACTTAGCAAAATAGTACCGAATCTAAAATAAGTAGCTCTAGAAACCAATTTTGTTAAATAGACTGCATTCCCTCTCTTCTAAAACCCTATGATAAATAATACAGCATCAGGAGATTACAATAGTCCTACCTTTTAAAAAATAAGATAGACTCTAAGCATATATTTTGCAGAAGTGACGCCATTAAAAGCTCTGTAACAGTAAGTGACATTCAAAGATGTGTAGCACTATGTAGAATTAACGCTGTGCAACAATATGTTTAAAAGCTTCAATTACATTTAAATACATACAACATTAAGTGACATAAGAGCATTTTAAACACAGGTCACTGATATTTTAGCTAGACTCATGAATCATTTTATACCCCACTGACTTTATTCTCAAATTTTTGTAAGTCACCGAACTACATGCTTGTTAATGAGTTATGTATCCAAAACTACAATGTTCCAATTTATTTTCATGATTTTAGCAAAGTTTTAAGATATAAATAAAAATACTCAGTTAACGTAAAATGTATTTTCTTTCCCATTCTTTCAAATCAAGTCTTTGTTACATTATGTATTCAAAAAATAAGAATTAAAAATGCTGAAATATAATTGGTCTTATATTTGGCTCTATATATGCAAGTTGAACTACTTTTGAATTTATTATGATAAACTTTATGGTTCATACCTCCAAAAATATTGCCTTTTCTTACAAATTACTCATTAGTTATTTCTACATTTGAATTTTTTTTCACATAGATTTCTTGGAAGTACCCAAACCAGTAGCTTCATTGACAATGAAATACAGAAAATAAATGACAAGTCAACAAGGAAATTAGCATTCCCCTTCTGACCAGCTGGGTCATGTTTCCTTTTCAAAATCTTGGTCCCATGACACAAAATAATAATAATCTAAAAGACCTCATTAAATGATCAATATATTGACATAACCTCTATAAAGAGACATGTAGTGTTTTAAATGATTCCTTGAATCCATTAAATGGAATATTAAACTCAAGCCTCCAACTTATATTATAAGAGAACATTTGCTTTATTTATTAACTAATTTTCTTCAGGATATTGATGATGGCACATGAAAAAATTCAAGAACTTTTATATTTAACCAAATAGTAAAACGAGTTCAGTTCTCACTAAATCTTTCATACAAACAACATCACAACAAGTTAAAATAGACAGGTTAAATCACGTTTACTTACCAAAAAACTTCCAAAGGCTGAATTAAATATCGCAGCTGCCTGTAGAGAAAATAAATGGGGGGGAAAAGAAAATCACTGAAAGCAGTAAGAATAGGAAAAGCAAAGATTAGCATTCTCCCTTCCCCCTCTATTCAAAACCTCAGAACACTGACTCCATAAAGCAAAGTTAGTCACTGCTTACAAAAATTGCCAGTGGCCTGTAGTTTACTAAGATAGATGAGCTGCAGCTTAGGAATTCATAAATAATGGGTCTCAAAAGCAAGCAGAAAAGGCTTGCCATGAGATGTTTTGAATCTATATGATAATACCAAAAGAATTATCACCAATAGTAAATTGAAACCTTGTTGTTATTGATTTTGTTACTAGACTCAAAACAATCAGAGGTTGATTTATTTATCAAAAAAAAAAAAAAATCCATATTCCTAAGAGAGGGAAAAACAGAACTGTAAGGTAAACATTAACTACTGCCTAACAGTGAACATAAGTTGTATGAGCCGCAACCACAAGTGAGATCTGTTGTTCCCATACACTGCACATTAGAAATATGAACAATGCTATTAAGACCATGGAAGTTACTGGCTAGACTGTTAATTCTAAAGTAGCAACAAGCAAGCAAAACTTCAATTTGGTGTTCATAATTCAGAGAAGAAATATTTGACTGTGCTTACCTAAACATCCAGGGAATACATAGTAGATGTAATATAGCTCTTAACTTTAAATCAATCACAATATTCCACAAAGCTACACCTGAATCCTGAAAGCTTCTCATATGACCCCAAAAGGATAAAAACTTGTATAAAATCCAACTGATGAAAGAAAAGGAGAGATAAAAAAAAAATAACAAAAGGCAAAAGGAGGGTAGAGAAAACTTATTTACATGTCCTGTAGATCCACAGCAGAATTAAATTAATCATCATGGACATTATCAGCCACATTGTAGTAAGAAGAGGATGTCAGTTTAGTAAGTTTGAATAAAGTCCAAAGGCAGGCTAAGAGCCGTAGCTGAAAATGCCTTCTGCTCCAGAAGAGGATGCAATGAGAGTGAATGGGTAATGAGATCCTTGGCTCCAGAGAGCTGAGCTCTCCTATTCAAGTTCATAATTAATTCAAAGCTTTGATAATTTCATTAGATTTCTCCTTTGCTGGCCCTATCAATAAAAGATGGCACTGGACCACAGCTCCTCTGTGGCATAAACATAGGCACAGGCACAGACCGGGGAAACCTTTGCTTCCTGACAGGGACAATGGCATATGGTGTTCTGTGCTGTGCAGGGAGTAGCGGGAAAAAAAAAAGATTCAGCTAAATAAAACATTACAGATGGCAACTGGAAACTACAGCACCATATTTAACACATCTTCCTGGAATTCCATTATGGAACATACCAGGAAAAAAGCTTTATGTATGGAGTAAAACTAAGTAAAAATGTATAAATAAACGAGTTTTGGTAACATCAACAAGGAACATTGCCTTTCTTCCTACAGAAATGCACCTTCCCCACAATTTTTACTGCTAGACCCAATTTTGTGCTTAAAACGGATTATCTCTCTTCTTAGTAAAGAAACGAGGTCTTCACCTTTCAGTTCCTTTCTTTCAAACTTCTTTCTTTCCAGAGCCTTTCACCAACTTTACACTAAATAATTAGCAGTTTTGTCTAGCATTTACATAAACATGGAATTATCTGAAGTAAAAAGACTCAGCAGTCAAAGTGAAATAAATCAAATCACCATACTCCCACTCCCATCGTTTCCCTTTTTAACCTGAACACAAGCAATATATTTCATGTGGATTGGCTGTGGTCCTGCATCTCATAAACAACAGCGATGACACTGATGGGCTACCTTAGGTGCCCAAAGATGCTGCAGGCCAGCCGTGTCAGCGTGGCACTTATCCTTATTTTTCTGGCAGCGATGATGGATTTGAACTCACTCACCTATACTGTCATTCAGTCCACCCTCACAATGAGCTCTGGCAATATTTTTTAGACAGCTGGCTGAGGTTCTGGGTAATCTGCAGAAGCCTGTGAAATCTGAAACTGAACCAAGGATCTTGGGTGCAACAGATAACTGAGCTAATAGTTGGCCCAAGTGTATAGTTGTTTCCCAGAGTTCCAAAGAGTAATGATGAATATTTGAAGTATTTAACTGATACAATGAAAGATATGCACGTCTTCTGACTTTAGGAGGAATTCCCAGCTCCTTACCATGATGTACAATGTCTACCATGAACAGGTCTCTGTCCATCTCATTCTCTGCCTCAAATTTTATATTCTTGCAACACTAAGCTACTTGTGATTCCCCAATCTCATCATCTTGATCCTACCTCCTTGCTCCCTGGACTGGAATGCCATTCTCTTTTCCTCCACCTAGATTACTCCCATTCATCCTTAGTGACTAGGCACAAGCATTGCCCTTCCATGCTTTTGATCACACCCCCAACACACACCTTGGCACACGTATACATGCACACTTACATGCGGACTGACTGTCCTCACACCTGCTCCAGAACATCCTGAGCATACTTCTGCCATGGCACTTGTTACACTGTATTGAAATGACCTATTTACATGCCTGCCTACCCCCATTGCATTCTAAGGACTTTTAAGGGAGGAATCTCATGAAGCTTATTCTACACATTCACATGTCTGCTAACAGAATTGCTGAAAGAAGTAGGATGTCCAAAGTCTACCTCTCCTCCCAAGTTATTCTATGTGTTTGGGAGAATCCAGAGGCTGGATCTGACAACTGTCACCACCCCAAGCATTAACAATGACAAGAAATTCAGACTTCATTAGTTCCATCTCCTACCCAATATAAGACTGTCTTTCACAGTATCTTGTTTTACTTCCTTTAAAATGCCTGAACCTTCCTATTATGATATTGCCACATAAATGTTTTAGAATTTACCACTGCAATATAGCAGATGTGTGTAAGTGTAAAATCTATAATTACCAAGGAATACTCTGCAGCCATTAAAAAGAGGATAATCTGCATATACTGATATGAAAGCACACCAAGATATTGTAAGTAAAAAAAGCAAGGTTCAAAACAGTGTTTATGGTCCCTATTATGCAAATATATACACACCCACATACACACTCACAAGCAAGTTTAAAAATAAATTATTTTTTTCTGAAAGGTTCCACAAAAAATTTCTAACTATGGTTAATTCTGTTCAAAGAGATTGGGTAGAAGTCGGTTTGTTTTGCTGGTTTGTTTTTATTTTGTTCTGTCTGTCCTCTTTGGCTTTCTTTTTTTAAAACATGTTACTTTTTTATATTTTCACAAGGGTTGTCTGGGCAGGGAGATGTTGAGCCATTTTCTGAACCCCTTTGTGTTAAAAATATAATAAATATTTTATTTTAAAATAAAATGAAGATTTCTAATGCCACTTAGGATATCAATGATACCTCTTGCTGATTGTCTCACAAGCTGGAGGTTGGGCATCCTTTGGAGCACGTATCATTGTGCTGGGGGTATAAGAAGCCACAGAGTGAACACAGTACATCCTCCTGAGACATCTACATCATGTGAATGTTCAGTTTTCAAAACATACCAAAAAACCAGTGTTATTTTTGTATTAAAACAAACATGGCTTTATAGCTTGTATACGGAATACAAACTTCATGTGCTGAGATCAACCATGAGCCACCAAAGACAATTTGTTCTGAAGGTAGGACCCTTTGGATTATGCCACCATACTCTCTTGCGATATGAGTTTCTTCTCCTCTACTAGGAGGAAAAGCCTGGCGATATACTTCTGAAAACCAGCCAATGAAAACTCTGTGGATCACAACGGTCCAGTACTGTTATGCATGGAATTATCATGAGTCGGGGGCCGATTCAACAGCAACTAAAAACAACAGCAACATTTTGGTAGCCATACCTGGGCTACTCTGCTGACTTTTAAATATAGTATTTCATTTGTTATTATCTCCTTTGCTAAAAAAAAAAAAAATTTCAAAACCCATTCCCTCTCTAGAATGCTCCATCACTACAGAAATTTGTCTAAGTTGTTCAAGGTTGTATCCACTGTGCCTACAGCAGCACCTGGCTCACAGTAAAGCCTCAAAAAATGTTGCTGAATCAATGAATGCGTGAATGAGTGAAGGAACAAATATTTCTTGTGCCAATGAATGACCTGCACACTAATGCTTTCATTATTAACTCAGAAATTCCATCTGCAAAGTATAAGGCTTGATGTAATTACATTTGATGGATAATTAGCTCAATACTATCAGAAAAGAGTTCATATTGAGTTATTTTTTTAATACTCAGTAAATTGGCTTCATTTATATTATACATTTTTAGATAATATATTGCTTTGGTATCTGTCTGATTTACCCAGCATATGATACTTTACTAATATTTCATTATATATTGTACAGCGTGTCTTTATTTAATTATTTTGGAAAATTGAGCAAGTTCAATAATGGATTTCTTCATTACCTACTTGGAATTATTTCAAATAAAAAGGCAAATTTTTAAAAAACTTAAAACAATGGGGACAAAGATTTCTCTAACTCATTAAAAGCAGGCTCTTCCATTGCTGAACGCCTTTAAACGTTATGAAGTTCTACCTTACACTAACCTTAAAACCTACATGTATTGACCAAGGCCCATGCTCTGGAATTATGTAAGTTTGCCTAGTTCCTCTTTTAAATGACTGTACTTCAAGTATATGAACATTGCTAGGTCCTACCCAAGTCTTCTCTTATGATGTTACATCTAAAATTTTCATAATGCTAGTTCATAAATAAAAGAAAAATCCACTGTTTATAATGAGTGTAAACAATTTATTGCAAGTTAATTTTATGAAACTTCTGGCTTTGGCTGTTGCATTCTTTGCCTTCCAGTCAAAGTATACCAAAATGCTTACCCAAACAATAAAATGTGGCATTTATTGTTGTCTCAGAATTTCAACTTATGCTGTAAGCTAAGGCAAATATGTGGCCAAGTACCCCACTATTCTAAAGATACCAGTCCATGCAATACTTATGAAAAGATACCAAAACTAGAACAGGGGTCACTTCGGCATGCAG